TTCCTCTCCCCCAACTCTTCCCAGATCCTACCCCACCTATCCAACTTCCTGTGCTTTCTCTAAAAGACAAACACAAACCACACACACATAAAAAAGCAAATGGAGTCTGTTTTACCTTGGCCCACTATTCCTGTGCTTGAGACCTGCCTTGCAGTTTCCCAACATTTTTAATATTTGCTATTCCTGTGACACAGTAGCTGTGACACTGCCACTAAATAAATACTCTTTAAGGAGCTGTTAGGTAAGGACCCTAACAGAGAACAATGGAGGGGTCAACAACAGGCGAAGAAGAAAGACGATCCCAGAGGAGGTTCAGATAAGAATCCCTGCTCTTGAGCCTCAGGCATACAGGCAGTTAACAAGGAACTCTGATAGGGTGAACTAAAAAGCACGTGTTAAGAGGCATGGAAATAAGAGGTGAAAAAATCTAAAACACAACAGGCGGTTTCTTATTCTGCAGCAGGAAGGAAAATCCTTTTTAAAAACTAGGAAAGGAAAAGCAAGACAAAACACATGGATTTTCAGTGATCACAAAACAGCATCTAATTTCCCAGTCCAGCCATTTCTATTACACTACTGATATGGCTTAGCAGCTCACAGAGTAGACAAGACAGTTACAAAATGAAATTTAGAGGGGTGATGCATCTGATCCCTATCCTCAATTAATGAAAGGGAGGACTGTAGGAAATTGTGAAGTTAGTTGTATCCTGTTTAGCTCAATCTTTTATGTGACTGGCTTATGAAGAAATGCACCCAGAGAAATGGTTAAATATATCCCGTCAAAAGACATTTAGAGATCTAGTCTGATCAATGTAACTTAGAGAAGTAAAACACTTTTAGGTTGTACTTACCCATGTTTTTAAACTGTTGGTAAAGGTTTGTACCAAATCTTTTCAAAAGAGTCCTAATCCAAGAATGTACTCTCACTTAGAAACGATTTCCAAGGAAGAGATCCTAAATCTAGACTTACATTCTTTTCTTTGGGCTTTTCCTCAAGGCAGCTCAGTACCCACTCAATGACTAATTTGCACAGACACCAGTGATGCTAAAACTTAACCCTCCCTCTACTAGTACAAATTAACCAACTGGCAATCCAAACTACACAGCAGTTTTCAGATATTTGGTTAGCATGAAGAAACTGAAGATGGTGTTAAGATGGTGTTAACGTGTTACTTAACATATTAGGTACATATCCTAAGGATAATGTACCTTACCCTTAGATAACCTGAAACACTTGAAGTCTTCCCTCTAAACCAGGAATGTTATATACATATGTATATAATATATTTCTATATATATATTTATATATATGGGCCAAAGGCTAGATGTAGACCAAATATAAACTTTAATTGGCTTGTATAATGGCAATGATTAGGAGGAGGAGGAAGACAAAGAAGACAGAGAAGAAAAAGAGGAAGAGAAGAAGAAGATTGCTACCCCCTTAAAAATGTGGATATTTCTCTGTTAAACGTGTTTATTTTCAGCCTCTCTCCAATAAAGGTCTGGCAATACTAAATCTGAACTGTCGTATGGTAAAAAACTGACCAGAAATAAGAAGCCACGTTCCATTTCCCTGCGACATTTGCTGCTGAGGCTGCATATCAAGTGTCCTCTATCATTACCCATGCACTGCTGGCTTTCTTATAGAACTCGAAGGGGCTAAGAATAAATGGTTGATGGATAAATACATATTTTAAAGAAGTATGATCCTCTCTTCTCTTTAAAGCAGTAACAAAACTAGAATCAAAGAAATCAATTTACCTTAATCTGAGTCTGTTCGATTGACTTTTCCCATATCTGCTGATCATATGCTCCGATCTGAAATAAGGAGCAGGCTATTTAAATGATGCAAAGGCAATCTCTGTATCTAAGTCAAACCTCGCAAAGCCATGGATCTATTAAATAGGGTATCTGAAAAGTGGTTTCTTACATAGTTTATACTCCTCAGGGATGTTTCCAAAAAAAAAGACTGAATCTAAAAAGTAAAAAAGCAACATCCCAAATATTTTACACTAAAAATCACCTAAAATTCTACTCGCTAAAGAAACCGTCAATAGGAATATCAGAGAGGAATAAGAGGTAAGAAACAGCTCAATCAGATGATAGTAGCAATCTGAGCCATGCAGATAGGTATTTCATTCTTGTTTTTATAAAAAAAAGAAATTAAAAGACTGATAATTTGCAAAGCAAAGCATTGTAGTAGTTCGTGTATGCTGCCTAGAGAAAGGTGACTTACAGCTCACTTCCTGGAACCTAAAACTGGGCTTATAATGACTTTGCATATCATTTTTCACAGTTGAGATATTATATAAGGACATGTGATATTACCAAACTTAAGGAAAGTTAACAATATTCTTTAAGAGAGTTTCCTGCAGGATGTACGGTTTACAAATAAAAACTACTGTTGTTACCTTCTTCTGATACCATGATATAGCATCTCTCTCATTTGAGGCCATCTGTGTCTCCAGTCAGAGTGGGATCTCACTGAAAACGAAAGAAATGCCTCGATAAGTCCAGTTGTTTCAGGTCATTGTCCCGTTTGGGGTATAGCTTAAAATCTGCTTCTCAGCCTCTCCATGAGCTGCTCTTTCTCAGGGTGTTCGCCAGAAGAAGTGGGGGTGTGGGGGAAATGGGCGCAGCAGCCAACGAGAAGCCTCTGCACCATCCAGTACAAGTGTGGATACGGGGACAGCAAGTACCCGAGCTGGCCTCCCGCGCCCTCCGCCTCCCCGCGGCAGGCTCACCTGGTGCCAGCTGCCAGACAGGCTGCCGGCCGGGCTTCGCTCCTCAGTGACCCCCGCCGGACCGAGAGGCCGGGGGCGAGGCGGCGGCCCCGGCAGGCCGCATCTTCCCCCAGAGGCCCGGCCGCCGGCGGGGCCGTTACCATGGAGACCGCGGCGGCCAGCCCAGCCCGGGAGGCAGCCCGCCGCCCTGCGCCCTGAGGAGCGCAGCCTGCAGCCACAGACGCCCGACCTAGGCGGCTACAGAACAGGCCATGGGAGAAGCCAATTGGGAAATGAGCAGAAGGAAGCTGAAAGGATGCCTTCGCCAGCCACCTCGACACCCACAAGGGCTGGGTGCCCGGCTGGAAGCCAGTAGACGGCCCCAGGCCGGAGCAGCGGCGCGCGTCGCCCGTGAGGGACCGGCCGCGGCTCCGCAAGCTCCTAACGCGATCACCCGCTTCCGCCTTCCGGCTCCGCCCCCCGGCCGCCTTCCCGCAGCTCTGGCTGCCCGGAGGCAGAAGCCGACAGCCGCCCCGCGAGTAACCCTCGAAGCTTAACGGAAAGTCACCTCAGAAACGACCCTCCCAGTACCCGTCAATCCCCGGGAGGCTGCTCCCACTCTTCCAGAGGTTCCTGTGCGGGTCTGTAGCATTTAGCGTGGTGTTTACTTCATATCTTTGTCTCCTTTGGGTTGGACGAGCTCACAAACTAATGCGGGGCACGAGCCTTCCGCACGAGTTCTCCGTTGTTAGATGGACAAATGTTGAATTTGCGCGGCCTAGAACGCGGACAGGCGGGCTGTGGCCTAGCGGTTCCTCCCTCGGCTCTCATCAGCTCTTGCCCACACAGCACTTAGGGGATGCACAGGGCTCCGACCGCACTGGGACTTTCCCCAAATCGGAGAAAATGGCTGTTCAAAGAGAAGTCCGGAGAAAGGGCAACTGCACTCTAACGTAAATATATAAATGTATACCCACGGGGTTTCTAAGCTGTTCTTTTCTCTATACACTGTGTGCACCTTAGTGGCTTGTTTCCAGGGGCCACTATCTTCAACTTACTTAAAGCTGAGTCCTTTCTTGCCCTAGGCACTAAGCATTTAGTTGAAGTAAGGCTAAAAATAGATAATTATTACTTAAGCAGTCTCCAGTTAATAGGCATTTTTATAAGCCACTAAAGCCGCGTGAAATGAAAGTTATCCATACTGTAAAACGACTAAAATCGCCGGGCAGTGGTGGCGCACGCCTTTAATCCCAGAGGCAGGTGGATTTCTGAGTTCAAGGCCAGCCTAGTCTACAGAGTGAGTTCCAGGACAGCCAGAACTACACAGAGAAACCCTGTCTACAAAAACAAAAAAAAAAAGACTAAAATGTAACACCCATAGGGATAATTTTTAAAACTTACTTCAGCCATATATTGGCAATGGTCCCCACTGCTTTTACCCCTTAACTGTCAAGAGTTAAACGGAAAGCCGTTAAGACTTAACAGTGCTGCTGAACACTCAAGGCAACAACCAACTAATTTTGGTAAATGACCAAAAAAATTACTTTAAGTCCTAAATTAACACTAATAATAAAAGCATTTGACTTCATTGCCGAACACACAAAAGGTTTTTCTCGGCCGTGGATAGTACTTTCAGGAATAGAATTAGTGGTACAGTCGTAAATTATTTTCCAGGAACCCTGTTAAAATTTTTCAGTTTTATTAGGATGCTGCTGTGTGAAGCAGAGCTTTTAACCCAGAAAAGCATTCAGGCCCCAGCTCCCAGTAATGAACTGCCATTTTAGGAAATTGATTTAACAAGTCTGTCTTCTCACCTGTGTACCTCCCTCTTATCTGTGAGAACTGATGAAATACCCTGAGATGCCTTCTAAGACCTAAATGCTGTCAGGACAGGCACTTCAACTACAGAGTTCACCCAAAACTTAGTGAGGAAAAGAGCCCATTCTCTTGTACTCTATTCCATCCACATCTGAAAAGGAAACACCGTCTTCATTATTATGCCACACATTTTCACAAGCCTAAGCTGCTCTAAGTACACGTAACCAATTTTAAGCAGTAATAAAGACAACTATCACAAATATGGGCTTCATTTTTCTTCAAAACTAGAACCTCACTCTGGTTATCTGTGACCTTTTCTTTGGGAAAGAAAAGTCCAAGTTTTTTTTCAAAAGCTTAAAAATAAAATGGCACAAAGAAGTTGAGTAGATGTCTGTCTGTGTGTGTGAAGAAGACTAGTGCTCTAAGAACAGTGCAGACAATGAGAACTCCCATGTGCTGTTCATTTTGAAACATCAGTAAAGGACAAATCAGACTTTGTTTATTAAAAAAATACTTTACAGGGAAAAAAAACCTATGCATTCCATTGTCCTACTTTACAAAGAAATAGCTTAACAATTTAACACACTCAGACAGCTACAAAAAAAGCACTGTGTTAAAAGAATTATTCACACAAATTTAGATTTAAGACTATTCATTAAAAACCTTTTAAAACACTTGTTAATGTCAATAAACAAACTAAGGCCACACAAACGCAAATAGTCCGCCAGGCAAATTAAACATTTCATCTATATGCAAAGACCTCTTAGATAAATTAAAGCCACAGGAAAAAAAGTCTTAGCTGCCAATCAAAATGAAGTTTAGTCACAGAAAACACTATTACATGAAAATTTACAACGTGTGATAGTAGTACTTAAGTATTTCTTCAGAGAGAATTGAAAAGTGCTATATTTTAAGAGACAGTGGTCTCAACTACATGCACAAGTGGATCCTAAAAAATTTATGAAGATTTTTAAAATGGAAGGCCATATTTATGGATACTTGCTTTTAAAGCAACAGACTTCCAGGATGAGGATAAGTCCTTTATGCACTTAAGAAAAACACTGGTGGTGTGTATCTCCTCTACTTGCATGACCAGTAAATACAACTACAGACTGTCTTGAAAACATGAAACTTAGCACAAATGTGAACCTCTGGCATGTGCTACTGAAAGGATGAAACAGATTTATTAGAAAAACACAAACTCAGTAATCCTAATTATCCTTAATAGATGCAAATGAATTTAAAAGGCAAATACAGATGAAAATATAATGGGTGAATATTAATAATAAAGGATATATTCACTAGGAACATATTTTCATGGATTTTGGAGTCTTGTTCCTATATTAACTTTTCCTTCTAGACAATATTTATACAGGGAAAAAAAAGCACTAAGCAAAAGTTTCTCAAGTCATTAGGTGAGATCTTTATGCCTGTTAAGACTGATACATTGTTTCCTAAAGTTTAGCTCCTTTCCCAATACAAGAGCTTGTAATATTTGTGAACTGATAGTCCAACTGTTTCTGAGGGTACAGGGCACTTTCCAAAAGTCTTAGAGTAAAAGTAATTTACCAGTAAAACTTGTAAGTACTGAATAAGCAAAGTACAATTAAGCCTAAGAATTCATTTTTCAAGAGTTATTTTGGAAGAGGGAACCAATATACAGGTTATTATTGCTTTATGAATTTGGGACATCTCTCAGAGTCGTAACCCTAACTCCTATCCTATCTTGATAATTATAGAATGACCTCTGGGACAGGGGAAGACTTTTATCTTTTTTAATGGTTACCATAAAATCATTCTATTTGCTGTTAGGAATATTAATTTATTAGGTCCTTTCGATTAGCATATTTTTAAAATATCCCTCTGATCCACAAAGTACTAAAACTTATAGCCACATTCTGCAAGTAATCTCAAGGGCTGGCACAACAGATAACATACCAGAAAGGAAGATCAGCTTCAATTTCAGTAACAACTTCACTGCCATCACTACTTTACAAATCCAAGGATGCCAGACTGTTCCACGCCTCACTCCACCAACCAAATAGTTTAATGATTTAGAAAAGTTGCGATCATTTGTATCACTCAACTAGGACACAGTTTTGAAAGCAGCAAGAAACTCAAAGCTTCTGCTTTAATATTCATCAGTCTTTAAAGCATGCTATCAAAATCTAATACTCACATAGGACATTCAGGGTTTCCAGATACATTACTAGCTAAATGTTTCTTTCCATTCTATTGCAATCTAATATACAATGACTTCATTCGTACATGATTTTCAGCATTTTTATATTCTTTTAATATGTTTATACTGGAAGTGAGGGTAGAATGTTTTGTAAAAGGAAAATGGAGATTTGCGTTTGATTGTAGGTCTTTGCAGATCCGCTGGTTCCTGAGTGATTACACAGTGCTGGCTGTCAGGAGACAGTCTCCTTGTTTATTAGTAATGACCAGCTTAGATGACAGGATGGCATCTGCTGGATGGCAAGTGGGAGATGGGGAAATCGGATCTTGGAAGACAAGAAAAACAAAATAAAACTTTTTACGTTAACAACTTTTTCTCTTCATGATTATTTTTTAAAGCAAATGTTGCCTGAGAAGAATTTTTCTTTGTACAGCCTGGTAAAGCTCTATGAAATTCTTCTGGACAGAAAAAAAATAAGAAATAACCAAAACCCATTCATTTTGTGATATACCCCCTTTTCTCCACAAAATAACAACAACAAAAATACCCTCAAAGGTCCCTTAAAAACTAGTTTGATAAACTAGAATTTACCCTAGAATTTATACACAGGATTTAAAAACATCCCTGTAATAATCACATAACCTTTCATACCATTCTAATTACCTTATTTACAAAGATAACTAAAAGCAACATCACTTCCAATTCATAAATGGTTTACATTGAAGTGTTTCCCTATTTATTTGTCTTCATCCTTTGTAACAGAGAATACATACATATACATATATATAAGGAATAATACAGAGTCTAACTAATCACTGTAGTAGTTGCTGATGGTTACTTTTCTATCGGTTTACACAGTGACCTCTATACTTTGCTAATATGCATTTAACTACACAACAATATTGCACAAAGTAATATTTATATAAGATTTAACCTATTCCAGAATATTTTAGAGAAAATTCATATTTGATATTTCCAAAGATGCAGCTAAGTTTCCATGGTGACAGACATAATGAAGCAGCATCTTTTTCTTTTGCCTATGTTAATGCAAATATTTCAAATCTCACCATCCAGGAAAAAAAAAATCAAATTGCACTGTAACCAGGTAGATACAAGAATCTGGTCTTAGGTGTGGAGAGTACTCTTCCTTTAGTAAACAAAAGGCCTACTGAGTTGTTAACTAAGAGAAAGTATAATGCATAGCACATGAACATTCCAAAATAAGAGAGACCACACTACTTGGATGAAGGAGGCCTGTTTGAAAAAGGGAAAACAAAGTAAATATCCAGACACTAAGTTTCAGCCTACCTGAAACTCTACAATGGAAGTCTAATGCCTGTTATTAGAAAACAGCAACATGGAATAACAATGAAGAAACCAAGGTATTAGCCAGATAAAATTGTAAAGTGTTTCAAAAGTAGATGCCAAGTCACAAGAATAGTTTCTCCTAAGTTTGATGCTCAGCTATGGCAGCCCTCATCAGTAAGACTGGTGGGATTCTCTAAGTTTGATATGAAGATACTAGGAAGCAGAACAGCACAACATTATCTCTTTTACTCAAAAGAGCCTGTTATATTTAGCATATATCCTAGAAAAGATTAATGAACCATGGATAAGGAATAACCAATCTTTAGATTTTGTTTGTCATCTTTAGAGATTTGTTTAATTGAAATACCCACTGGGTTTTAAATAACAGACACAAAAAGACAGCCTGGATCAGAAAGTGCTGTGCTTCCTCTTTTGCTAAAAAACAGAGAGTCAGAGAGTTTTCTAGAGACCATGTCTTCTTTGTGGCTAGAACTAAACAACTCACTTGTCCATGTACCAGATGCAGGAGCCTTTCCTGCAACCAATACAACTTTACTGTGGAAACTAATGAGGTGCCATGAAGACACAAGTACTAAACCATAAATCTGCTTTCTACCACATAAAGCAAATATGGCAAGAGACAAGGAAAGATAAAATCAAGGGAAGTAAATATTTTACCAAGTAAGAACCTGCTATTCCAGAGAATTCTTGTTTTGATTTGAAGAAGAGATTGAATTGTAACCTCACACCTTAAAACAGAAAGTAGCAGCAGACCCACTATTACATACTGTACTAACGGGATAAGATACAACTCTTAGCTTTGCATAATCTGTGTAAAAAAGATATGCTTGACATTTGTGGAATGTCATTTCTCTTTATAGAATTATAGGCAAGATTTCTCCAATAAAACTTAACTTAAGCCAGTTATAAAACTATAACTTCACATCAAAATTTAAAAAAGTTAAAAAATGTGTTTGAATATGTACATATCACACAGGAGTGCTTGGATGTGCCTGCAGACTGTGTGGCTGGTCAGAGTCCAGTCTGCTCTCCACCTTGAAAACTGGAACAGGCGGAGTCTTCAGATCCTGTAGATGAAGTTCTGATGGAGGTGGGAAAGAGGATGAAGCAGTTGTCAAAAGCTGCATCTCTGTGCATCTATCCTCAGATTCAGTTTTTATTCTCACACATTGGGAGTCAACTTCTAAACCACAGTCCATGTTGGAATTGCTCTCTGTGTTTTGAGCGGTTTCCACAACAGGGTGGTATTGTTTAAGCCTTATATGCCAGGCTAAGCTGCATACTGCTGACACTGTTTTGAACTGATGAATGACATTTCTAGGGATGAAGTAGATATCATTGTCACACAGCTGAATTCTAGCATAGCGAATGCCTTCTCGCCTCATTTGGTTTAGTTTTGCTTCATCCACCCACTGTACACACTAAAACGAAAAGCAAAAAATTACATAAAGCCTTAAAACAATGATTCAAACAAAATATTTCAATACACACAGGGAAAAAGTATAGTAAACTATATTAAAGCAAATCAAAGTTAAATAGTTTATCTTGAAAGAACATGATAATTGCTGGAAAGCCTTTTTCCACGTATCTTACCCTTCTTAATCATAAAAGACTGTCGATGGCCTATGAAATCAGTACATCCCTGAAAATGCAGCTGAATATCAGTATCTTTACCACACATAAAGGCAGCATTTAATCTTCTCCTTCACATCTTCTGACATTTTGCAGTTGAGGCCACAGTATAGTGAGGTTACAAGTGAGATTGCTTATGGCCAGAAGTAAACAGCTGTGTCCTTCTTAACCATCTCAGGTACACCCTCCATCCCAAAAATTTTGAATTCTAGCACCATCCCCTAACACACACAGAATTTAATACAAATAAAGTTCAATTTACTGTCCAGGAAACCAATTATAAAATACCTAATATAGTGGATCTAGATGTGGCTTCCAATATCTCACTCAAAGGGTAATGAGAACCAGAGACTATTACCTGAGAAACTGGAGGTTCGTGAAGGTCTAACTGAAGTCTTTGTACAACATCAGTAAAATCCTCAGCATGAAAACAAATCACATCTTTGGTTATGCGAGGCTGATCACTCCTAATATTAATAAAACAAATTTAGGAACTAGCATCACAATGGAAGATGATAATTTCAGTTTTCCTGTTTCTAGAATGCTACGATTAGCAAATAAGTAAATAAAATGCCTATCTCCTAAGGAATAAGATTATACTTTCTTCATGATCAGTTTTCAAAAAATAAAAGCAAATCAATAAAATGTTTTTTAAACAAAAATCAGGACTGAAGAGATGGCTCAGCAATTACAAGCACTAGCTGCTGTTCGAGGGGACCTGGGTTCAATTTCCATCACCCATATGGCAGTTCACAACTGCAGCTCCAGTTCCAGGGGTTCTGGCACCCTCACAGAGATGCATGCAGGAAAAATACCAATGCACGTAAAGATAAAGTTGTTTTTTACTAAAAATTAGGTAAGTTGTTAGAAATTGAAACAATAATGGCTAAAATGAATAGTTTTTGCTAGCCTTGCAGCAACCTTCAAACCTGGTGCACACCCACCCTAGCAACTTGATGGCCAAGAAGAGGATCTTTAGTTTGTGACCAGCCTGACCTTGACCAACAAGTTCAAGGCTGAGCTATGGGAGACCCTAGATCAGAGGATTTTGGGGTTTTTTTTTAAGTTTTATTCTAAATATGATACACTTGCTATTTATTGTCTTATTGGGGTTTTGTGAGCTTTGTTATAAGAAAACCAGGCTTCAAGGGAGTGTAAAATGGTGCCACCACTACAGAAAAAAATACAGCAGCTACTCAAAATAATAAAACAGAATTGCCATAGAATCCAGCAACTATTCTGGGTATTGAACACTAAGAACATAAAGAGATATCTATATATCTATGTTAATAAAGAGCCAAAGGTAGAAGTAGCCCAAACACCTATTTAGTGGGCTAATCTTTATATATGTCTGTGTGCATGTGCAAGTACATGTGTGAACTATTCTTGGCCTTAAAAGGAAATAAAGTCTGACACTTGGATAAACTCTGTAGGACATTATAATAGAAATGGCTGAGTCAGGAAAAAAAAAAAAAAAAAAAAAAAAAACCTGGAACTGCCAAGATGCCTTAGTGAGTAATGGTGCTTGCCACCAAGCCTGAGTTCAATCCCTAAAACCCAGGTGAAGAGAAACAACTCCCAGAAATTGTCTAACCTCTACACAATTGCTATGGCACATACCTCACACTCACAAAAAAATAAGTATGATTAAAAATAATTCCCTTTGACCACTACGATTAATTTTATATTACATTTATATTTGTGTATGTGCATGTACATGTGTATATACTGCTATGTGGCCAGGTTTAATAGCAAGCACCTTTAATCCACTGAGTCACAAAAGGATTACTCTTGTAATGGTTCCCATGGCCTAGGGATAAGGGAGAAGTCAACTGTAGGATATCAGGTTTCAGTTTGGCAAGAAAAAAATTCTAGAGCACTGTTTCATCAAGGTGTGGTTATACTTATACTATTAAAATGTTTAGATGATAAACTATGTTATGTGTATTTCACCACAATTTAAAAATTGGTTCCTGATCTTTTAAACAGAATCCACATTTTCTTAAACATTTCTTAGCCATTACTATTTGGTTCCTTGAACTTACCATTCACCGAACTGTACAGCCTTCAAAACCCCAACAGCAGCCGTGCTTTGCCAGTCAAACCCCTGACCTACATGATCGGCATGAGCTCTTGTCCTGTCTTCAAAGAGGACTTCTCGGGGTTCACTTGTCCGAGGTAGGTACTGAAGATTTTTAATTTCATTCATTGATCTATAGTTGTTTGGTTGTAAAACAAAGACAAGTATGAGGAAATAAGCAGCAGTAAGGTAAAAGGGCAGATCTGCTACAATATTAGGCTTAAATGAGTACAATGATTTTGATCATTAGCACTGAACATACTATTAAAATGATTAATATGATTTCCTCCCTTTCCCTGTAGACTATACCTTTATTAGGCCCAAATGAAGAATCTGAATGTGTAGAATTTCTCTAGACAAGGACAATATAATTCAAGGCTTAAAGCTGTATCCTTCTTTACCTATAGCTCAGATATCCCATTTATAACTCTCAAAACATTCTACCAGGACTTAGATTCCAGGAAGCAAACTGAGCATCCAGCTGATCTCCTTCCACATTAAATGGAACTAATGTGGACAGGAGAAGAGAAGATAGGAGAATGGACAGAAATATACATGAAACAGAATTAAGCACGAGTAGATAGCTATTGATAAAAAAAGATGGAAGTTTATTATACTCAGCTTTTTATATGTTCAAACATTTCTAAATTTAACAATCTAATGGTGATCGTAAAGGAAATGAATTAGTAAATTAGCAGTATCAACAAACTTTTGCATGATATAATCTCATGGTCTTAGACTAATAAAACTGAACAAAGAATGTCAAAGGACTAGACTATTTAATAAGGAGTCAACAGGGGATGAGCAATGGACCTTGGAGAAACTCAGGTCAAAGGAGGGCAGAGGCACAGGAATGATATGGAGAAACTTTACTGAAACTGAGAAGCAAGGATAATAATGACCGTGGTGGTTGGATGAGAATGGCCCCTATGGGCTCATATATTTGAATGCCCAGTCCTTAGTTGGTGAAAATGATTTGGGAAGGATTAGAATGTGTAGCCTTGTTGGAGAAGTTGCGTAACAGGAGGGTCCAAAAGCTCATCCAGAGCCTGCCTGCCTCTTTCACTCTCTCTCTCTCTTCTCTCTCTCTCTCGTTCTCACTCAGGCTCTCTAACCTGCAGATAAGGAATGTACACAGATCAAGATGTAATGTATTCCTCTCTCGATTCTCCTTACAGTCCCTGACTTTTCATCAGGCATTCGATCATTCTCTATGTGATCTGATCTACAAGCTCTAGAGATAGAGCTGGATGAGTCCTGTAAAATTACAATAGGCTCATTCCAACTCTCAAAACATTCAAAAGAGGCATAAACCAATGCCTGCTACAATGTGGATTCTGATTAACAGTATGAAAAGAAAGCTACTTAGGAGTCCTTTGGAAAATTTCCTAGCTCATAATAAAGAGTTTCTTCTATTAAATACAACCAGGTTCAAGTTCTAGAACTTCTAGAACCATCTAACAAACACAAAGCTAATATGGGCACAAAAGCCTAGGCAAGAATGATTAGCAGAGAATGGAAATGATCTGGCTCTTTGAGGCTGGTATTTAGCTACTGATCATATGGTACCCAGAGATAACCTTCCTTACCAGACTTCTTGAAATATGAAGTAACATTTTTAATCTCATTAATCACACTTGAGTCAAAATTCTTTTTTTAAAAAGAAAAATTATTTATTTTATGTATATGAGTACACTGAAGCTATCTTCAGGCACACCAGAAGAGGGCATTAGGTCCCATTACAGATGGTTATGAGCCACCATGTGGTTGCTGGGAACTGAACTCAGGACCTCTGGAAGAGCAGTCAGTGCTCTTAACCACTGAGCCATCTCTCCAACCCTGAGTCAAAATTCTTTATAGCCATAACCATTCTCATAAAATTTCAGCTGGAAGAAAGGAAGAAAGGAGAAGAGGGGAGGGGAGGGAAGGGAGAAGGAAGAAGAGAGGGAGGTTTCTTTTCACTTGACTTTGCCATCAGAATAGCACAACTCTGGGTAAGTGTTATAATGTATACTTTTGTGCCTACTCTAATGTGAAGCCTGTCTACTGCCAGGCTGAATGAGAATACATATAGAATCTCCAATAAGTGTAAAGATGTACTCAAAGTATAAATGGGTCACCAAAGAATAACCAAATTCCTACAGATAGCATACTGACAACCAAAATTCACAATGATGACATTTAAAAATCCAAAGGTTAGAAGATAAAATGTCAAGTAAATGTTTCCAAATAAAACCAAAGAGGTCTGTACTGTTACTGACTAAAGACACTTAGAAACTAAAGAGACTGTCAGCAGTTAAGAGCAGTGGCTGCTCTTCCAGAAGACCAGGGTTCAGTATCTAGCACATATATGGCAGCTCACAACTGTCTGTAACTCCAGTCAGTTCCAGGGGATCTGACACGTTCACACAGATGTAAATCCAGGCAAAACACTAATGCACACATTAAAGTTTTTAATATTTAAAAATATATATTTAAAACTTAGATAACCAATACTGAAAGGATATAATAGTAATTTTTTTTAAAAAAAAGGGCAGTGGTGGCATATTCCTTTAACCCTAGCAACTGGGAGGCAGAGGCAGGTGGAACTCTGAGTTCAAGGTCAGCATGGTCTACAGAGCAAGTTCCAGAACAGACAGGGCTACACAGAGAAACCCTGTCTTGAAAACAAAAAAGAAAAGAAAGAAAACAAACACCAAAAGAAAAGAAAAGAAAAGAAAAGA